TAGCGCTCTCAACATGATACACTTAAAAAAGGACATACACTATTACCATTATCCTACTGAAATGCAGTGAAATTAAGTTTTCAGAAAGTTTTGATCTTTGCTTTTTGTTTCTTACAATCAGAATTCAGTCTTTCTGAAAATGATGTCTATATTAGTTTCCAAGGACTACTATAACAAAGTACCACAAATTGAGCTGCTTAAACAACAGAAATCTATTCTCTCACAGTCCTGGAAGCTAGAAGTCTGAAATCAGGATGCAAGTAAAGTTAATTCCTTCTGAGGGCTGTGAAGGAGAATTTGTTCCATGCCTCTGTCCTAACCTTGTGGCCTCAGAGGGGTTCCTCTGCTTGTCGACGACATTTCCCCTATGTTTTCACACCCTCCTTCCTCTATGAGTGTCTGTCTCTGTGCCCCAAGTTCCCCTTTTCATGCTTATAAAAGGTCATGTGAGACTATGACCTCATTTTAACCTGATTGTCTACGAAAACCCTATTGCCATATAAGGTCATGTGCAGAAGTACTGAGGTAAGGACTTCAATATTTTTGGGGGGTGGACACAATTCAATCCATAGCAATGTCTTAAACAGGATTAATAAAAACTTAACATCATCTTACATCCTGATGTTTGAACATTTCATTTGATTATTTCCATCAGCATTTACTCCAGACCAGACTTAGAACAAAAACATCTCTCATTTTTATATACCACCTCAAGCTTTCATTCCTATTTTTATGTTCTTAGAATTGAACTTCTTAAAAAAACTGCTTTGTGTTTGTGATCTACATTTCCACACCCCACATTCCACTTCACTATAATATGTTTTCACAATTTGCTCCTGATCAAGTTAATGATGATCTCCATTTTGCTAAATCCTTTGAGAACTTTTTCTGGCCTTAATTTGTTTGTCTTTTCAGATCATTATTGAAAGATATACTCTCCAATGGGCGCTGAGCATCCCTGTATGTTCTTCCTTACTATGCCAAAAAAGCAAGTCCCTGACTACTCTTGGGACAATTTTTCAGGGTTGTGTTTCCAGCAAACAACCCTGAGGAATAAGGTAACATTTTCCTCAGATAAAGAGCATACTTGCTTCCATCTAACTATGAAAGTGATTAATCTTCCAAGCTTAGTGTCGCTCTTCTGTAATACAACCCACTGCATGTACCAACATCCATAATGGGCACTTTGCATCACTCCATGACATTAGAACATATGGGAAACCAGTATGGCCATCATGCTGCCCCTATGACTACTCTTTTTGCTATGTATAATAAAGTCCTTTGTCTCTAGCCCAGGAGTCTTGTGTGTTCCTCTGGTATTCATAAGACAATAACAGACTAGCTTATTAGCTTGCTTATAGGGAGAACTTCCAGACCTTTTATAATTCTTGATAATCATTCGACATTATTTGACATTCTCTGGGCATGCCTATAAGATTTCCTTTGAAAGACGTTCCTTACTACTGGGTCATCAAATCCTGGGGTTTCTTAAAGGTCAGAAATAGACCTTTTTCTTACAGTATCTTGCTAGGAAATTTCAACACACTGCCAACTCTGGTTACCGTGGTGATGCCCAGATTTATTTCCCTAGCCCAGAGCTCTTCTCTGGTATATCAGTATATCCAACTACTGACTTGACATATCACTTGGCTGTTTCAAAGATAACACAATTCATGATGTACATGACCAGATTCATGGTCTTTCTTTTTAAACCTGGTCCTCTTTCACTATTCCTTCTCACAGTAGATGACATGGCCATTTATCCACTTGCTCAGGCCATTTTCTTCTTCCTATCCCTCACTATTCCTATCTAATCTGTCACCAAGACCAATTACCTTTATCATCTCAATATCCGTGAAATCTGTTTTTCTCTTCATCGTTACCTTCATTCTGTTCTTAGCTACCATTACGTTTTAAGTAGACTTCCTAATGTGCCCCCTCTACATTCATTCTGCTCTCTCTCCAGTCTGTTCCCCAACTGAAGCCTGAGTGAATGATCACTTTAAAACTCACATTGAATCATGTCATCCCTCTGCTTAAAACCTGCTTAAAACTTTCATTGTGCTTAAAGTAAATATCATCGGTTGACTCCTGCTCGTTCTTTTGATCATAGCCCACGTGAAGCTGTCAGTGACTTCCTATTTGGATTTGGATCTTTTATTACACAGATATAATGCTGTTCCTTTTCTTCAGAGCACTTTTGCAGATGGTCATTACATATTCTTAGTGTGACTATTTAATTAATGTTTATGTTTCTTCTCCCCAAGTAAGCTCCATGAGAGTAAGAACCCATGTTTGAGTTAGCTTACACTGTATCTCTAGCAAGCAGTACAGTGGTTGTTCTCAGACTGGCACTCAACTATTTGAGAATGAACAAAAAAGAATGAACACTTTAGATAAGCTGCCATATATTTTTCTTTATCATAAAATGTGTGTTGTGATTTAGCTAACAATTTATATCAATAAGATGTTTTAAAATTATATCTCAAGTCATTTTAACCTTTACTTAAAATTCCCCATGACTTCCTATTACAATTAGAATGAATCCAAATTCCTTACCTTAGCTACAAAGGGCTACACAATTTACCCCAGCTAATCCAGGACCGTTCTTGTAGCACTCATTTTCTTCGCAAGTACAATAAAGCCACACTGGATGCTCCTCTTTCATTTCCACCCAGAAGCACCTGGGCCAACTGTCCCCCTTAATCTTTGCCTCATTGACTCCTTTTGTCACTTGAGATCTCAGCTTAAATAGTGCCTAAGTTTCTTGTCCCTCAAATCTTAACCAGTGATTCAGTCATTCTCTCCTCAGTACTTTTCACAGTTTGGTATTTTTCCCATTTGTCTATTTATTTTCAGTCCATGTTCTGTCACTCCTCTACTACACACACACACACACACACACACACACACACACACACACACACCCCTATGCACACAAGCACACATGCCTCACCCTGCTAGAAAATTCCTTTCATGTAGACTTTCTTGTTCCTTGCTGTATCCCCAGGACTTAGAAGAGTGCTAGATACATTGTAGTCACTCAACAAATATTTTTAAAATAAATAAACACATTCTTAAAGTTAGGGGTCAGGAAATTTCCTTGGTTTACATTGTTAAAACCACTTCTTCCATTACCAAGTGTGAGAGTGATTATGATTTCTAACATGGCTCAAAATATTTTTTTTTTATAATTTGAAGTTTGTCTTCAATTCAATAGGGAATCAGTAGAAATATGATTTTTCTGTTTTCTTCATCACTGGTTTACTTTGAGAACAAGTTGCCTATTCCTTCTAACAAAGTAAAATTGCGCGAAGATTTAAACTAATATGACAGAATCTTCTGATATTTAATTTGAGGTTAATGTAAACACAGAGGAACCAAATTGTCCCTTAACAATCCTCTGATCTCAAAATGTACCCACCTACTGTACTTCAGTGTTTGTATTTGAAGGCAACGGGCTGTGCAACCACAAGCATTATAACACAGTCAAAAGTAGAACTTATTTCAACCTTTTTTACCTTTATGTTGGGTATTAATAATTTTTCCCCATTTTTCCAGTTCTTTAAAGGTACTAACTTAATAACAGCAAGATAGCTCATATGCTTTTCCTTTGAATTGCATTGACTTCACAACTATGAATTAAAGCTTGAAATCTACAGGACTCCTAAGTAGAAAGTAAGGATATGTTTAGAAAGAAGTTGGAAAAAATTTTAGCATTTATTTGATCTGGAGGAAGAAAACATCCTTCCAATGCAGCTTAGCACTCCTTTTTTTATTAGCTTCCATTAGGTAAAATAAAGTATAAATTCTCCTACACTGTTGACAACCTTTCTGAGATATGTTCTGGTCTTTCAGAGTTAGCTTTAGGCAAAATTCTGAAATATTTGGAATTATCTTTGTGGATCTTGTATTAGTGCTTCCCTTTATTTTGACATTGCCAATCCATTGCATCTAAAGGTCTAACATTTTAGCTCTTCATTTTTATCTTTTCTTGGCAGTGTGCCATATTCTGTGACTTTCTCTTCCTTTTCCTTCCCCTCCCCCCCCACCAACGGTCCTGCTTAATCTGATTAACAAATTCAAACTAGTTTGGAAGAGCTAATTAGTTAGTGCATTGTCCTTTTAGGAAATGCCTTTCTCTTAAACCAGGGGCTAGGGGCTATCCCTTCACTCAAAAATATGACTTTAATGATCTTCCTGCTTAAGGCTTTACAGGTTTTTGTTTGTTTTGTTTTTGATGTTGTAATCAAGTAAGAACAAAGGAATTCAATTTGAACTGACAAAGATATTAAGAATGATAAGCCCAACAATCACACAGTTTTGTGGAAAGGAAGACCATGATTTGGCTAATATATAAATAAAAGCTCTGACGAATTTTGAAACGCATAACCTTTGAAAGGGCACAAGACATATGACGACACATCACCAAGTTTGTCACTTCAGACAGGTGAAGTTGTAATCCAGTACCTGGTGGCTAGGTTGTCAGGGAGGTAAAACCCAAGGTCCCTTCTGGAATATCAGTGAGTCAAAAAGACCACAAACATGGCCAGTACCAATTGCAGGATGCAGTCATGAAGGCTGATCGTGAACAGTTCTCATGGGTTGTTGTCAGAGCACAGTTTCATGTTTCTCAGTTTAGGTGCCTTTCAGGAGCTGGAATCCACCTTGTGTTTATTCTAATGTAGCTGGGATCTAGTACTTTGTAAAAAGAGGGCCCTTTTGAGAATCAGGTCCACCAAAGGGTAGAAGCAGAGTCTCTTGCTTAAAACTCTGGATCCAAGATTCTTTACTGAGAATTAAAATGTTCATTATTTCCTACCCTTCTTTAATTTTCTATTACAATTCAAGCATTAGTAGGCATGAAATGATTATATGGCAAAATCTCCATCAGTCAATAAGCAGCCTAGACAAATTAAGCAAGATAATATTTGCTCAGTGAGGCACATTCTGTGTGTCAATAGTAAATGCTTTATAAGAGGCAGCAATTATCTGAACATAGTATTATTATTAATAATTTGATCTGCAGTTGTGAGTTGGGCAGTGAGGTACTGTTCTGGATTTTAGAGATAGTTAGCAACTTATCTTTTTTAAACAAAGAATGGTCTTCTAGTCAGCACTCAGTCTGGAAGATATATTTTTCACCTAAAGCCATTGCACTCAGTAAGACAAAGACTTATACTAGGTAATGGCAGAACCACTTTGCTTTAGAGAAAAGCATGAAGGGTGGAGGTGAGCGGTCTGGTTCAGAACAGTACAGATTGGGGTAAGTAAGTGCTGTTTAACAGATACTGGCTAACATATATGTATTTAGCACTTAATACACATATATGAATATAGAAATAATTACAGATATATAGAATATATATAGAATATGTAGATATATGTGAATCCGCTTAATTGATATATTGCTATCTTTGTTTCTAATCTTTAAAATGACTCTCTTTGGTGACTATTTTCCTCATTTTATATACAAAAAAGTTGGGTCTGAAGTAATTTCAGTGAGTCTTAAAGCTGTATATAGCTCTATATTATTTTAAGGTTTTCTGGCTCCAAAGTTTGAAGCATGGACCACTTTAAGAAAGAAATCAGAAGATAATGATGGACGAGGGTAGTGGAAGAGCTGGGCAAGGATGGGTGCAAAGACATGGTGTAGCAGTTTGGGTACTAGACATTCCTGGATTTGGTGAAAGCTCCATTAGGTACCACCTGGTATATTTTGGTCAAGATAATTGTCATAGGCTTTGGTTTCTTTGTCTTTGACATGGGGCTAATGATACTTCTTAACAGAATATTGTGAGGTTTTATGAGATAAAATATGTAAATTACTTCATAAAGAGTAGTAGGCTGGTCTGGCACATCAGAAGCTTGGAAGTTGCCACTCTGTCCTAACAACCAGTGAAGAAACTGAAAATCAACAACTCTTCTTATATCCATAAGGTGACAGGACAAGCCACTGCCTCCAAAATTGGAGAAACTAACAGGTGAACATAGAAAATCAGAACTTACTGAAGTAGAAACCCACAAGTAGAAACATCAGTGAGAACCAGTGTTGGTGTAGGAAAACCTGAACTATAATTGATGAATTGCTGGAGGATCGGTGTGGGTAAGTCTGAGAGTTACAAAGTCCAGGGGACTGAGTCATGGGGCAGGAGGTGGAGGGGCACATTTTTGTGGGTTTTGCCTCCAGGAACTTCTGGCAGGGGAAGGGGAAAATGAACCATTTGGAAATATGCCAGAGCTTTCTATTCTTCTTAATAAGGTCTGCCCTCAGGAGAACCTATTTAACCAAAGCCTAGTTTGTTGGGGGTTTATCAGGGTTTAACGTACCTGAAAAAAATATTTCACCCCACTGTAGCCATTCTGTTCCACCTAAGGAAGGGAAAAGAATCTAAGAAGCACTCGTGAGGTTCACAGTTCAGAGACACAGGCGCACTAAAAGACTGAGACCTAATTATAGGGCTGTAGGACGCTTCCCTCCCCCTCACATCTCAACACCACATTATTAAAGGCTTATTTATAGCAGTCCCTTTTATCCAGTACCTTACGGTCAGTTATAAAGAAAATATCACAAGGCATTCTAAAAAAACAAACCAAGCCACAAAACAAAAACAAAAACACCAAAAAACCTCCCACAACAAAACAAAAACAAAACAACCCACAAAAAAAAAAACAGTTTGAAGAGACAGAGCAAGTATCAGAACTAGACTCAGATACGGCAGAGATGCTGATATTATCAGACTGGGGCTTTAAAACAAGTATGATTATCAATGCGCTAAGGATTCTAATAGATAGACAACGTGCAAGAACGATAGATGCTATAATCAGAGAGATGGAAATCCTAAGAGAGAACCAAAAAGAAACGCTAGAGATCAGAAACACTGTAACAGAAATGAAGAATGCCTTTCATGAGGTTGGTAGTAGATTGGATGCTGAGAAAAAGATCCTTGAGCTTGAAGATATCTCATTGGAAACCTCTAAAACTGAAAAGCAAATAGAAAACAGACTGGGAGAAAGGAAACACAAACAGAATATCCAAGAACAATGGAACAACTACAAAACAAGTAACGTGTGATGGGAGTACCAGGACAAGAAAGGGAGAAAGGAAGAGAAGAAATACTCAAAACAAAACTGAGAATTTCCCCAAATTAATGTCAGATGCCTAACCACAGATCCAAGAAGCTCAGAGAACATCAAGAAGATAAATGAGAAAAACAAACAAACAAACAAACACACACACACACAAAAAAAACCCAAAAAAAACTACATCAAGACATCATATTCAAAATACAACAAATCAAAGATAAAGAGTAGTAGGCATTCAATGATTAGAAGAAAAGGACCTCAAAAATTGTATGTAGCTTCAGTTTACTGATATAACTGTTACTTGGTAAATTGCATGTAGATAAGGCCATTATGAATCTAATAATAAGAAACTGATGATTTTGCTATGTTTTTAATAGTATAAAGACAAAAGGACTTCTCATGATTAGGGAGAGGTATGGAAACTGATGGACTATGGGCATTTGTAGCCACCCTTATGTTGCCTAGCACGTTTTTTTTTTTTCCTGTGTTTGTTGCCCAGCACTTTTTATAGATTGTGGCCTGAATGGGTTGTATCCTTAGTTACTTTGCCAGATAATAAGGAGCCAATGCAAACATTAGTGTCAACACATAGATTACCCTTCACAGGTGGGTAAGGGAGAAATCATTCAAAATTGAATGAAAAAAATATAACCTTTGTGTTCTATTGGTTTAAAATCAAATTGTGTGCAAAACATGGCAGATTATTTTCTATATGATGAGATGTTAGCAAATAACATATTATTTCACATAACTGTCACCTCAACCCCTACCACCTTGGCACTGTATTTCTTACTTCGTATTAAAAAAAAAAATCTAGAGATTTTTTTGTGTGTGAATTATTTGAGGTAATGAAAGGGCAGGAGGGTCTCAGTCTGTATTCTTGTCACTGCCTCTCTTCTCTCATCACAACATTTACCATGATGAATTCTAAAAAGGTTCTTATTCTCTGAGGCTCCTGCTGGCTCCATCTCCTTCTTGAGCTATGTAGCAGGGATACCCAGAACATGGTAGAACTTCACTTGCAGGACATAAAAATGTGGGAACTTGCTTAGGTTCCTCATCTAAAAGGAAATAGTTTTGAAGTCTTGACAAAGAGAGAAAGCAGGAGAATGGCACAGAACAAAGTAAAACTCTTCCAGTTAGAATCTATGGTGATTCCACAACTAATCTTCTTATTCTTCTACATTGACTCTAGAAATATCAGTAAAGCTTTTGGATTTTTATCCATCCTTATTTTTTTAAGAACAAAAACTCTTTATTTCTTAATCATATTTTTTCAACCTGTAGATCCTGAAAAAATATTTTATTTTGTCAAAAATATTAACAAAGGCAAACATCACAATGCAGCACGATAGGAGAAGAATTTGTACTCCTGTTATCATTGTGCTGGATTCACTTGCATAATTTGGAGGTATATGCCCTGGGTCAGGGACTGATTTTTCTCATGTCCTGCATGGCATTAGAGAACACACTAATATTTAATAAATCATATTAGTACCAGAATGGAGTCATTTTGTGTGGGTGGAAGTGTGCAAAGGCCTACTTCCTTATATTTATAGCATTCTTTTAAGGTCATTGCTAGAAATTTAGCTTTTCAGATTCAATCTTGCTCTGATGGGATCAGGTGAGGTTTAAGTTTTATATTTCCTCTCTTGAGAAGGAATATTTAGGAAATAAACACAGAATTTGGAATTTGGATTCTTTCCATTTCAATAGAAAACATTTTATGAACAGATGATTATTCCTAGATTTAGGGAAAAAGAGATGCCAGATGGTGAGGGTAAAAAGCAGTGTTCAAGCTGAAAATACTATAATAATAGAGAGAGAAATATAGAAAGAGCTATATAATAAAATGTTTTTCAATTATCTGTTTTATCTATTTCAAGCTTTCTGTAGATTGAATCTTCTTCAAGAAAATGTGTTGTAACTTCAGATTCTTAAGAGGCCATCACAAACAGAATATGAGTAAAAATACAGTAATATACACCTTGACAGGATGCTTTCTGAATTAAGTTTTAGAGTTTCTAATTTCTATCTTTTTATGAAGAAGTCTATATTGCAAATTCTCTAAAAATAGCTGATTGGCCTTGATTGAGGGCTTTACTCATGAACAAGTTTGATGAGTAAATAGTGTAAGTTCCTCTGAGTGGTAGAAGTAGGTTAGGATAGCGGCCAAAACTTCATTCTGCAAACATTTATAAGCATATTTTATGATTTGAGGCCTCTGTTTAGTGATCTACTTTCAGAAGTGAGGGCAGGGAACTCGGAGGGGGGATTGAAATACATTGATGGTGAGGGAACAAATTTATTGAACTGCCTCCGACATAGAGTTTTAAAAGTAAAAACTCTTAGCATCAGAGAGGACAGTTGAACCCAAAGATGCATACTTTCATATGGTTAGTAAAAATTCTGAATTCTTCATTTGAAACTGGATCTTTGAAAATGTTGAGTGACCCAACCTATGCAAATCCATGCCATGTCACCAAGTATGTACTTCAGAAGTTAAAGATGGACTTAAAATGTCCAGATGACATTAGTCTGCACTTCCTCTTTGAGTATGAAATAAAAGGAAATGGTGACTGTAAGGAATAGCTGGTTTTCTAGATTTGGGAAGAGCAGTTTGTGTGTATGTGTGTGATTGTTTTATTTCTGATTTTTAGGCATGTTATACTTATAAATCTTAGGATGAAATTTTAATCAATTCTATACTAGATTGCTTGTAATGATTTCTACACTGATTTTCCTTACCTCCCTACGCATGTCCCTTTGCAATGTGACTTAACCACTTCTCCAGTCAAAAGATAGAATCTATTCCCCACCTCTGGAATCTGGACTCATCTATGACTTGCTTTGACCAATTGAATATGGTAAAAATAACATCCGATTCTTGTTCTCAACAAACCTTGTGTTTCCACCCTGCCCTTTGGGAACGTTTCTACCATCATGTGACGTCTTGCCTACCGTAAGATGAAGAGCCTCATGGAGCAGAGGTGAGTCATTGCAGCTACTGCATTTGAGAGGGACCAGCCGAGAGCCAGCAGCAATCATCAGAAATGTGATTGAGGCTATCATATGTCTTCCAGCCCCAGTTCAACCACCAGATGACTTCATCCACTTGAGTGACCCTGGAAAAGATTTGCAGAAGAATTGCCCAGATGAGCACCTAGCCCAAACTGGAGAACTGGGACCAAAAAAAATGTTTGTTGTTTTAAGCCACGTTTTGTGGTGGTTTGTTATGCAGCAATGCATGATTGAAGTACATTCCTAGCGTTTAATTTATTGAATTTCATTCATGTTGTCCCTTAAGCAACAATCTTACCTTGATTTTTACTTGAAATTGCTTCACTGCTGATGCATTAAGTAGCAATGTGTATTGAGTACTTTCTGCAGGCAGTGTGTGATTACACACTTCCTACATTCTTGGGCTTTACAAAAGGAAATAACCAGGAATGAGAGGCATTCCTTGATCTTGATGAATTACAGGTTCCTGTTTTGCCGGATAGCTTAACTTAATGTAGTGAAATAAAGCGGACAAAGCTTGAAAAACAAACAAACAAACAAAAAAAAAATAAAAGGAAATAACCAGGAAAGTTTTTGTCCTTATACATTGATATAGTAAATCAACACTACAGGTTAAGAACAGTCTTTTAAGAATTTATAGAATAATTTACATTTCTCTCTGCCGCATACATGGACATATTTACCAAAGACCTAACATTAGAAGGTTGTAAAGAAAAGCAAAGGAATATCAGGGGGGAATTCTGAAGGATGAGTTTTGACAGGAGCCTGGAGAAAGAAAAGCTCTGTGTACTAATGAAGTTCTGAATAATAAACAGTGTCAAGGAAAATTAGAAATGGTTCCCAGGAAGGCTAAGAAGCCTCAAAATTATTTTAAGTGTCTGTTAATAAGCTTTCAGCACTGTTGCACAATATATAAATTTTGTTGTGTTCATTGATATTTGAACCATTGTTTCTATAGTAGGTGTTGCCAAAATCCCAAACAAATGTTCTCTGGGAACAGGGCCTGCTTCTAACTTAGAAAAAAATTTCTTCTTTTTTAGAATGTCTCTCTCAATATTTACCATAATCATTGAAGAAACAGTTATGTATTTTAAATTGTTTCCCTTGATTTTCTGATTTTTTCTCTCCTCCCCTCTCTCTCACCTTCCCTTATTCCTTTCCATCTATCATTTGCTCTTTGTCCTGAAAGGTGTTTAAAGAGTGGTAGGATATCGAAATTAATCGTATTGTTAGTAAATAAATGTCTCTTTAGAAAGCAACTTAGCATGTTAATTAAGTTAGTACAGGAAAGGAGGGCAAGAAACAATAATTACCACTGATATCAAAACCTAAAACACCTCCAAGGTAGTTATTCATAGGTTATAGGGCTAGAATAAAGACATCATTTACAAAAGAAGAAATATAAATGGAGCCACCCTAATTCACCCTGGCTTCCTCTGAAGCCACCTCTTAACCCTCTTGTCTTTCCTCCTGATTCAGGCAGATGTTGTGAACACTTAAATCAGAGAATTGATTCCAAAGTGGGATATAAGTGTTGGTCTTAATTGTATCAGACATTAATATCTTGCATTGCAAATAATTGTTTTTCTAAATGACTCTTATTGGGACACTTCAGTTTGATACTTTGGCTCCTCTCTAGAAGCAATGTGTTGCTAGACCTCATTGCTAGGCAACACCACATAGTGAGAAAAGCTGAATTCCAAGGTTTTAGTGTCAGATTAAAAAATATTCTTGATCTATAATTTAATAGTAAATAACATGTACATCTACATGATATCTTTGATATACATGAAGCCAGAACTTATTTTAGATGATCTAGCAAGTTTTCTGATCAAAATGTGATTTCTTTCAAGTTACAAAAAACTTTAAAGTACATAGCATGTGTCATCTTTAAAAAATTTAGTAAGAAATTTCATTATAAACAAATCTAGTATTTTATGGGTGTGCAACTATTAGCTATACCCAGCTGACATTTTCATGATGTTTCATGATGTTTCCTAACAAACATTTATGAAATGAAAGTGTTGGGAGATAATTCTCCATGGGTCTCTTGTGTTTCTGCATGTTTTAAAAGCAGAGACACTGACAGCCCTTTATGCAGGCTGTCTTTTTGAGGATGTTTGCATAAGAAACAATTTTGGAAGGTAGAGACTGTGTCTCCATCTAGAGCAAAAGCAGGTTTGCTTGTACCCTTGAAAGAGAGAAACAGTGGCTCCTTCTGGAGTGAAGAGCAAGCGTGTTTACTGCCTGTTATAAGAGGTTCAAATTCTCTAAGCTCTGTGTTCCGCTCTGATAATGCAATTCACTGTGTGTATAAGTATCACTTGGCTCTCTGCATCACCCTGTGGGAAATGGGGCTTGGGGAACCTATATAAGAAATAACAAATTCTCTGGCTATTGTTGTTTCTGTGAGTAAGAAAGTCTTTTTTCTCTGACCTAGAAGTCCTGTGATTTCTGACAGCATCCATGAGACTGGCAGGCTAACGTGTTAGCCTGAAAGTAGAGTAAATTCTCAGACCCTTCATGGTTCTGGACAGAAGGCGCACTTTCATTGATGGTGAATGTTATAAGTGTATCCACCTAAAAGAAGCTTTAGGAGACTCTGACTAACAAAATAGGGAACAAAGAAAAAGAACATAAAAATATTATTTGTAAGTAACATCATGGAATGTGGGTTTAGGTAATGTGGTTAACAGTGTATAATTTGTGCCTTATCTTTAGTTGTCACTTGTTCCTTGTTAAGGAAGTTTAACCATGAGCTAAGATGTCAAAGAGAAATTCTTTTGGGTAGGCACACCTTCCCAGAATTTTCAATATCATTCCATTTAGGTATTTTTCATTGTCCAAATACATACCTGTGATCATGACTCACTCAAGGAAAATCAAATTACTGACACCCAATCTTAATATATACTAATAGTTCTCATGTTCTGATACACATGAAAGTTACCTGGAGAATGGTTAAAACACAGATTACTAGGTTCTGTTCCTAGAGTTTCTGTTCCAGTAGATCTGGGACAGGTCTGAGAATTTGCATTTTTAACAATTTGCCTGGTGATGCTAATGTTTTTGATCTGAAGAACAAACTTTGAGAATCATTGTATAGAATGGTGTTTGAACATGGTACAACATATTTAAATCATTTAGAATCATACCAACCTAGGTTAGGATCTCAATTCTGCCATTAACTAGCTATATAACCTTGGAAAACATAATTTCTCTGAGACTCAGTTTCTTCAACTGTAAGATGGGAAAATAATAATAATAACACCTATTTCAAAGGAATGTTTTGAGTATTAACTAATCCATGTAAAGTGCTTCACATAACGTGTGGCACTTAGTTAGTATCCCAAAATGATAGCATTATCATTACATGACTATATTCTATAGCAACTTCTTTTTACAATAAAAATTCAGAAAAGAATTTGTGAAATATTAAAATCTTCTCTCAGTTCCTTTAAAATACTGTTAGAATGGTAATGTAAGTACTTATTGTATAAAAAAGATACAAACCTATTTTAAATATTATAGAACTGTATAATAGTATTTTTATTAAATCAGCATGTGATTCCTGAATATATCATTTACTTGGACAAGTTCTCCCAGACTTCATTACAATGTCCACATGTATAACAAAACTTTTTTGGCTATTGAGGCCTGCTTACATTCCTGTGAATGGTATCATGCATATATCCTTCTTATTGTTGTGATTGTTTTCACTTAAAATTGAACATTACTTCATGATTTCTATGGCAGCAGATTACTTTGATTTTTCCAAAATTTGCCATAAAATATAAGAAAGTCCACCAGGAGTTATGAGAGAAAATCATCAACTTCCGATATGATGATTTTATGTTTTATGAGGAATTTTTCCTTTTTTTTACTTTGAATTACTTTCCTCTAGCAAGGAAATACTTCCTCTTTTTTAAAAAAATATTTTATTCATTTATTTATTTGAGAGGGAGAGAGAGAGAGAATGGAGGGGATGGGCAGAGGGACAGGGAAGGAATCTTCAAGCAGACTCTGAACTGAGAGTGGAGCCTGATAACAGTGCTTAATCCCACAACACTGAGATCATGACCTGGGCCAAAATCAAGAGTTAGATGCTTAACCGACTGAACCACCCAGGTGCCCCAACTTCCTTATTTTTAAGTATCAGAAAAAGGAAATCCCATAAGAAGCACCATGTTCCTCATTACAGAGAAGTTTATTTTTTAAATGTTTTTGTCAGTATTTCTATATGTGAGTGTGCTAGTGTGTGTGAGTGCACGCCCACCCACACATAATTCTCCAATAACAGTAATAAGGCACAGATGTTTTTAGAAGTCTACTTAAATCCTTGCAAATCAAAGTGTGGGCCACAGATAGGAATTTTAACAAAATTCCTAGGTGAGTCTTGTTCACTTTAAAATTTGAAAAGCACTGATTTAATGACATCTCTCACAGCGTGAATTAATTTCTTTTATTCAATTGTTGCATATTTCTTCTTTCTGTTAAAAGTAACGCATGGTCTGTGATGCTCTTGCAGGAAGAAATAAAGACAAAACATGTTACTCCTCAAGGAATTAATGTTATGTATCTATATTAAAATTACATAACATTGGATGAATTATTTTCAGGCTCACACAGAAATAGACATGAAATGGTTAAAGGTAAATATTTAGCCTCTTATAATGTAGGGTAGGTTAAGGAGAGGGCTAAATGTTAGTCTCAGTAACTCCTGATGCCCATTTTCCTACCCAAGAGAACTTATTATTCTTCCTAACAAAGTGCTGAGTTTAGTCATCCATTTCATTGCTCCAGCCTGGTGAGCAATGCCGGCAGTGGCCAGAGAACAGCATGCACTGGATTGCAAGGATAGAGCTGGGATTCAGCCTGTGCCCAAAGAGAGAAGTCATTCTCAAGGTCATACATAACAGGTGGCAGGTATTTATCAGGGAGGTTTTGAGGGCAGTATGCTTTATACCACTGCACAGAAACAAGGATCTAAGTAGCAATTAACAATAAAGAATTTTCTGTGATCGGTAATGAGAGTCATGATGCAAGCTTGAAATCATTTCAGGAAGAATTATATGGGGCTCTTACAAGAGAAACAGAATGTGGATCACTAAGAAGAGAAAGCCTGTCTGCACTAGACATGGGGAGTTCTTCAAATCTTCTAGCGGGTTTTCATTAATTCCCAGCCAGAAGGAATTAGAAATTAATGATAATTATAACAAAAACCTTATGATACAGACTTTTGGGTTATAATTATGAAAACTGTCTCCATAGTGAGTGTTCATTTGTGTCCATAAAGTCTGTAGATAAACTTTTTCTCCAGGTATTGCCATCAACGGCCATCAGACTCCTTGGATCATATTGATAACTGATGTACCCAGAATGTAATACCCTGTTTACAAAACTAATTTATGAATAGGGGAGGTGCATGTTACAGTGGATTTAGAAATGGGTCTGGTACAAAGTGATTCTATTTATCAACTTCAAAGAATTTCCTTATATTCTCTTTTAAGACTCAGGAAGAAGTTGGTAGATTAGTCTTTTTTTTTTTTTTTTTTTTTTTTTTTACTTTTCCTTCACTCTCTCTTTTCCGTTTCTTGTTGGTAATGTTTCTATACTTCTAAAAAAACATATTCAATGTCTGTCTATTTTATCTCCTTTATTTGTCTTTTAATTGAAGTTCTATAGTGAAGTATAATCAGTGCTTGTCCCCAGAACTTAGGCTAACACTTCTCCTTCGATTCCTATCCAGGAATGTCATATACCTACTTGTTTGTGAAGGATTCCCTTTGTTATGTCTTTGCAGATTTTCAAACAGATTGGTACAGTTTTAGG